AACCGCGATGAAAATGGCGCCACCGAGTGATTGGAAGAATTGTACCGACGCAGTAGCAGTAGGAATCCACTCCAGGCTCATCACATTTTGGACAACCAGCACACCGGTCTGGAAACCCACGCCAATACCTAGACCAGCGATAACCTGGTAGCCGAACCATTCGCGGAGAGGGCTGTAGAGCCCCAGCGTCGAGATCATGGCCGAGCCGACAGTAAACAACACCATTGACGGGAGGATGAATGGGTTGTAATACCCAACCACTGTGATGAGCCCGCCCGTTCCGACCGAAGTGATGACCACCGAAATGAGCAGTGGAAGCAGCTTGATGCCTGCCTGAACAGCCGAGTCGCCTTGGATGGCCTGGAAGTACAAAGCTGGTATCACGTCAGTACGGTATTTCATTGCATCGCAGAGCGGATGTGTACTCACAAAGATAGTAGACCAGGGGAAAGAATCCGGCTCCGAAGAAAAAGGCAAAACCCATGGCGCAGAGGGAATCCCTCTTCTTGAAGAGTCTCGGAGGCAGTGTTCCCTTGTCGCCCTTCCAGATCTGAATGCCGATAAAGATGACGCCCATCAGGCCGGCACCAACAAACAAGCCGATGATCACCGAGCTATTCCAAGGATGTTCAGTTCCACCCCATTGCAGCGCCAGCAGCAAGCAAATGACGGCTGGGATCAGCATCGCCGTTCCAATCAAGTCCAACTTCATGATCCTCGCCCACCAAGTCTCGCTGTCAGGATTCTCATCTCGGTGGATATGTAGGAACAAGAAGATGGCCACCATGGCTGCGCCTCCAATCGGCAGATTCACATAGAAACACCACCTCCAGGTGACGTGGTCGGTGAATGCGCCGCCCAACAACGGTCCTGCGACTGATGCAATACCCCACATGGCACCGATCAAGCCAAAAGCCGCTGGCCGTTGACGAAGCGGGAGGGTGTAGCTCAGAATCACGACGGAGCCGGAGAACAAGCCCGCCGTGCCCATTCCAGCCACGGCTCTGCCGACGATGAAGGCATTGGACGTGGGTGCAAGTGCGCACACGAGCGAGCCAACCTCGAAGATGAAGACGGCTGTCAGATATGTCCATTTGACACTGAACATGCGGTAGACGGATCCATACGTTGGCTGAAGAGCCGTCGTGCTGAGGAGATATGCAGCGCCATACCAGCCAATGTCCTTGACGGACGAGAACTCGCCGGTGATGGCACCTAGAGCCGGGGCAATGATTGTCTGATCAAGGGCGACCAGGAAGACGGCCAAGCAGAGAGAAGCGATGATCAAGATAAGCTTCAAGCCGGTGGGGTATGAGTCTCTGTCTTGGCTCTGTTCGGGTGCTTGATCCGGAGTGGAGGACGGATCGGCGACGTTCGTTTCGGCCGAGCCCGGGGCCGGTGTGGAGATGTCGGAGGCCTTGGAAGGCACAGAGGACTTCTCCGTCTCGGTCGCGGTCGATGTCATCTTGACTGTGGTGTGTGTTTGAGGCGCGGGTTGTGATGAGATGAGGAGAGGGTGGCGAGTCCCGGGCGGGAACACTCAGCCCAAGCAAACAACGCGATTCCGTGCAATGGGCTGTGGTCTGGGACGTCTCGAATTGTTGGGTGTTTGTGTTTATGGGTCGAAAACCAGAACTGGTTTTCACCCTTGCGCGACGCGCCTGGCGATGGGATTCGCAAAACCTGTTATCGCCGAGCGCGGCCGAGAAGCGAGAGTGGCCAATATGTTCACAAAAAAAGCCTACCGACTGATGGGTCTGAGGGAGCGAACAAACGATGGATGGAAAATTTGCAGAACCTCGGATGTATTTTTTTTTTAACAATCTACGAGGCGACGTCAAGATTGGCAATAGGAGGAGATCATCTCAAGTCATCAGACAACCGTTACGTCTTTTAACCAAAAGACCAAAGCTGAAAGGGATGCAGTCTGCTCAAGGGCCTAGAGCTCCACCACCCTGCTTGGAAGGTACCTCGGAGTCCGAGAGCCGCGACTGTTATGAGAACAACCCATTCCAAGAAAGGCCTAACTTCAGGGCGAATTTCATACTGGTTTCGGCCGCGCTGCGCACGCATGCGTAAAGCAAGGTAGTGTTGGAGCGAGCTAGCGTTGTTACTTGACCAGACTGTTTGCGGTTCGATTGGCCCCTTGAAAGTGAGATTGATAGTCCGCTCCAACCCGACACCAAGATCGAGCCTGTCAGGTCTTGGCAAATTCGTTTCCCATGGGGAAAGAAAAGAAAAGTGGATACCAAAACTCGGTGCTCGGTGTCTTGGCAGGTCCGATTTCCTGGTGAACGGGAGGCGGGCTTATGCCAAAAAAAAAAATTGCGGGTTATATCATGACAGACGTCACAAAGAGAATTTTGACAGTAACAGTGCGGCTGAGACAAAACGGTTTACGGGGCGTGTGGTGCCACTACGGTACCGCCGTGGCGGCGGGCGAAAATGCGGCTCGCGGTTCGCGACAAACGGTTTACCGGTCCGCCATTGAAGAAAAAAAAAGTTGCGACGTGTGAACGATTTGGGGGTCGGGACGGGAGAATTGAAAGGGCGTCTTACGGCTATTGTGGGAGTTGACGGCGTTGAGATGGACCTTGAAATTCGCATTTACTACGCGTACCAGGCAAAGCAAGTGACTCATTCGATTGAAGCCATCTATCAAGTATTCCGTAAAGGTAGAATGCTCGCGATACTTGTAGGTGGGTTAGCGTGGTTGGGACCTGGTCACTTGGTTTGTGAGTATCTAGATGATTGAAGTAATACCTCTCGGATTTTGTGTGTACATGACTTGACCAACATGGCCACCCAGAAGAATCATAGCTGGCAGCTCATCATATTGAATGAAACAGGTCAATCATTATTGATCGTCCATCAAAATACCCCCAACGCTATGCCAGTAAATTTTTTTTTAATAAAAAACCAAAATACCTTCTGCACCAGTCTTACTTCCGGTTCCTGGTCTTCTTCTGCGTCTGCGTCGTATCCTCTTCGACCTCATCCTCTCCTTTCTTCAGGTCCTCAGGCAATCCCCACTCTTCCTTGTCGTACCAGTCCTCACCGTCCGATAGCTCACCAACGTGCGCCTCAGCCTTAGCCCATTGCATGACCGTTATTCGATAACGATCAGCCTTGAGGAGACTTTCGTACAGTTTCTTGGTACCGCGGCAAACTTCCTCTTGTTTTTGGACGTACAGTTGGAGGAGGCGTCGGACGTCTTCGGCTTCGTTCTCGGGGAGAAAAAGATCGCGGTCTGGATGCGCTGCACGCGGTGGTAGGAATAGCGGGTGGATAAATAGCTCCTCTGGCGTCTCGGCTGCGACTGATGGCGGCCTACTCCCGTTGGGTTGTGGTGGTTCGGGAGCCGCCGCCACATCTGCTGTATCTGCCATTTGCACGTCTTCCGTGGGTTCTTCCACCTTGGGGACGGCCCCGTCAGTCTGTTTTTCACCTTCGGCGTCCGTTCCTTCGGGATTGGACCCCGAGTTGCCATTGACCTGACCGTCTTTGGGTATGTCGTCCGACCCGTTCGTGACGGCGTCTGGTCGTCCATTGATCTCTGCTCGCACACCCGGCGCCTGATCACTATCGGTGGCGTCGGTTTCCTTGCCCTTGCTTTGGCCCTCCGTTTCACCGTCAGGGCCGTCTACCGGGGCTCGGTTGTGTGCGGCGTCGGAATTGGGTTTCTCGCCCGCATTTGTCGGCGAAGTTCCGGGCGCAGCCCCATTTGAGGAGGACGCTACAGCGTCGGGCAGAGCAGGACGCTTGGTGAAGCGCTCGGTCTCGGTGAACAACTCATGGTCGAGATCGCCAATCATCAGCCCGCATGGCGCCCAAGTATTGTCACCAACAAGCTTCGTCTGCAGTGGCTTTGCCTTCCACAATGCAGCATTTTCCCTGTGCATGAGGTTGCGACCTTGGGTGACAAGCTCGGTCAGCGCTTTGGATGTGAAAGGCCGCGACAGTGTGGGGTGGTTCGGAAGGTCGGTGACGGCGGTCAATGGGGCGAGGAGTTCTGGTCAAGTTAGCGACAAATCTGGCTGTCCTGGAACAGGGGCACCGACGCTCCAAGTGGATTGAGGAATAGGGGTTCTCAGCCATGGATGCCTCGATTGTCTCTTGGATGCGCTCCTCGTCGTCATCGCTATCTAGCTCGTAGCCTTCCTCGTCGATAAGCAGAGGGTTCTGATTGATGATCGCGCGGTGGTAGCCGGCATGTTCGGCGATCTAACCGCTGTGTCAGCTCCGGCCAACGTAGCAATGCGACTGCGCTTGGCCGCTCAATCATCAGGGACGTACCTCTTTGTAAGAAGCAGGGCCGTTTGGGGGCGCGAGGCGACCTTGTCGAACAAATCTTGACCTCTTCTTCAGCTTGTTGCCCCGGTTTGTGTTGTGCTCAATCGACGAGTCGGAGTCGGATTCTATTGCGAGTTGTCGCTGTTAGTTAGCGGCCTAGACAGGTGGGAATGGGCCAGAGAATGCCGTACCGTATGCCTTGCGCTTCAAGGTTTTTCGGATTGCGAGCACCGTCTCCGCGATCATGGCTTGCTGGTGGTTCGACATGTTGGCGCAAAAAGTAAGCGGACGGCCCGGCCGCGTCTTCGTCGGGGCTTCGTCGCGAGTGTTCGCGATGGTTCTGTACGTGACACGCTTTGGGCTTTATGATATTGGAGCGGTACTGATCAACTCAATGCCTCACGCTGCGCCGAACGTTTGGCTGTCTGTGTGTGTGGTTTCCGATCGCGAAACGAGAGCTGAGGAATCTCTTGGTGGGATCACCAGAGAACGGGGCGCTGAAAGCGGGCAGCTCCGGCAAAACTGGAGACAGGCCGATAAGATAAGGCCAGGACCCGAGGCTTGGCAAACCCCTGGGACCCGAAAGTTGACGAACTCCCAAGGATTTGTTGATAGCAGATGGGACGTATCGTTTCTGTTGTGAAGAAGGCATGTTCCAGTAGTCATGTTTCAAAATAAAGGATGAAAACGGTAAAAGAGAAAAAAAGCACCCAACGTGGGACTCGAACCCACAATCCTTGGATTAGAAGTCCAATGCCTTACCATTAGGCCAGCTGGGCGTAGCAAATTTCAAATTAAACCCCTTAATATAGTTGGAAGACTCCATCACCGCCCTAGAGGTCATGCTCAAAAGCAGCAACACATGTTCAGCGCTGTAAACTGTTTCAACCATGTGTATGCATGCTTCCGGATACTGGCTACAATTATCACGTAAAACATTGCAACGGCCAGGCACCAACCCCCTTCACATCACATACGCTTCCTTATGTACAGTGGCTCAGATGCGATTTTGGCTGTCAATTCATGTAATGGGCTCACACTACGAAATCATTGAGCCATTTCAAGCTCCCTGTGACCGCACTGGAACGACCCCGCAAACCTCACGCTGTCGTCGAGCCTGGCTTTTCTGCCTTGCGACAGCAAGAATGCTTGTCTCATTGAACGGCTGAGCGCAAGGCACTTTCGAAGTGATATATTCCTTCTTACTGGTTGATATCCTCACAAAAGAGAACCATGCATTAATTGAAACCGCCAGAAGCAACATTTCAGAGTCAAAACGAAGGCATTGGCCCGCCGGGTACATTTTCCACAGCGTGGTGGTTGTCTCCCCACTGTGACGCAAGTGGAGTGGCCCAAGCTCCATCCCCTTCGCTCCAGACCAAAACCTCCCCCATCGCCCCGACCGCAAGCAACAACACCACTACACCAACCGTTCACCATGGCTCCCGTAGGTGACCAAGATACGCCGACAGGCGATGACTCGCCTTTTATCTCAGAAAACGAGGCGGCCGACGAGTATACCCGCGCGGCAATCATCAAGCACGCCATCGCAAATGCGCCCCCCGCGCCCTTCTTTATGCTCAACAGGAACTACCGTCGACACCTCACAGAAACTCTAGACAGGGTATCGACAGGCCTAGGCCGGCCACTCACCCCCGTGGAGGCAGAACACTTCGTGAAGCACGAGGCCAAGCGCAGCCGCATACTATCCTACAGCACGCCCGCGGTTCTCGCATTCGCCTTCTTCCTCGAGCGACGAGGGCGCCACCAATTCCGTCTGCCCATCCGGAGCATCAGCGACCCGCACATATTCGGCAACGGCTTCCTGCCGCCGCGCTTCAACCTCTACGGGCCCAGCGCCAACAGGGCCTGGCACGCGGTGCGCTTCGGCTCGTACTGGTTTTTGTCATGGCTCACGCTTGGCGCCGCCGTCCACACATGGGCCGTTACGTCGGTGGGCATGGATTCGATGCGCGACAAAGTGGTGGTCACTGCAATAGAGGAGATTATGAAGAAGAAAAAGCAACAGACGCAACCGTTCCCCGGCCAAGGGCCGCCGCCCCATTCCGCTCGTCGTCCCTTCTCACCTCCACCACCACCATCTCTTCCTCCTTCCAGCCAAGCCCAAGCCCCTCCACAGGACGAGGAACAAGGCTGGGGATCAGAGAGTTACTCCGTTACTGAACAGCAGCCCTCCTCTTTTGGCGCCGAGCAAGAGCCTAGTCCCAGCACCCAGACAACGGGCTCAGCGTGGGAGAAACTTCGTCGGGAGGCTGCGAAGGGCAGCGGTGCCTCCCCTCGCCAAGAGGGTCAGTCAAGGAGGCCGCAGACCTGGGAGGAGCGCCGGAAAGCCGCTCGACGGGAAAGCCAAGGCGTTGACTCGTATACTTACTCATCCTCTGAGGAAGAAAAGGCAGTCGCAAAGGATCAAGCCCAGAAGGAATTTGACGCCATGTTGGAGCGTGAGCGTCACGGGAGTGACAAATGATCGTTTAATCACAAATCAGAACCGGTGTACCACCATTTGTATCGTTATTTTGGAAAAAGCCGTCGCGCAGCGAAAAGACTGAAGCATCAACCTCTTGAACTCTCTCCCGCCAAAGACCACATCACTTCCAACATGCCCAATATCAACACATTCATCTGATAGGCAGCTTGTTTTCCTCGAAGTGCATGTCTTCTATTTCTATCTGGTAACTCAAGGCGCTGTTTTTTTCTTTTGTAGCCGGTAAAATATCATCGCTGCTCCACGCTTAAAATGGAGCATGATACAAGCATTCTGCCCCCCGCCCATTTGCCAGTATGCGCACTCAAAGCCAGAAACTGATGGCATCATTGCCACAAAAAGAGCGCACTTGTCAGCTCAAACATAGTACATTGTGTCCTGAAGATCCTTGTGGACTGTGTTGGTTCTTCCTGGACCTGCCGCGCCGCTCGCAAGGGATGCCGTGTCGGACCCCTCAAAAAGGTCTTGATTGTGCGCCCGAGCCCGTGTGCAAACAAGATCCGCGTAGTAAGCAGGAGGGCAGATGCTAACCGCCTTGGTAGCGCGGCCGTACTGGAAGCACATGAAGTACGTCAATTGCTCTAGAGCGTTGGCCGCCTTCTGCTTGTAATCGGCACGGAAGATCTCATCGACGAGAACCGTGTAGTGGGCCGGGCGGGCAGTTCCTATCATCCGTCAGCTCAAGCGCCAGTCGACAAAGCAACCAACTACTCACCCTTGAGAGAAGCATGCGCCTGCACGAAGAAGTCCCACGTTCTGGCGCCGGTGACGCCGCGGTCGACAACCGTCCCGTCCTTGGGGCTGTGGGACGCCTTGTGGATGCCCTGACTGTTTGTCGGATAGAACCGAGTTTGATGCCTCTTCACAGAGACGATCAGGGTAATGCGGGGTGTGTTCTTCCCGTACAACTCGGCGCAAGCTTGCCTGATGAACGGCAGCTCTTTCTCGATGACCTGTGCAAACTGTCCCTCGCTGACGCCATCGCGGAAGATGACCAGGTTTTTAGGGAGCTTGCCCGAGTTGCGCTTCCGCCACAGCTCCAGCCGACTCTTGAAGCCCCTGACAAGCTCCTCATCCAACATCTCCCGCTTTCCAGTCATTGACCAAACATAAGCAGGCCATTGGTTCAGTAGTTTGTCGACGCTCGCCACCAGTCCAACCAGGCTCGGGGCATTCTTACCGGCCCTAGGAGCAAGATTAGTGGGATGGGTCACATCGTATCCCACCACCATTGTCTCTCCGCTGTTGATAAGCGGCACTGATTCCTTGAGCTGGTGGTTTTGCCCACCCAACTTGAGATTCAGCTTGACGCCGACATTGACAACATACGTCAAGTTGGGCCCTTTGGGGCCAGCAAGCTTCTGTTGCTGCATGCAGAGCGTCGGAACTCCATACTTGACATCACCAAGGAGCTTGACCCGATTGTAGAGCTCGGCTGTGATGTTCGGGAGCACAACAATGATCAGCTGCAGCTGCTGCTTCGGAACGAGCGCAGCAAACTTGGACTCGATGCTTTCTGCGCCGCCCCCCGCAGAGGCATACATACCGGCCGGCCGTATAGCAGGACGGAATTCAATCCCTTGATTAGCGAACAACAAGTTCGTGAACGTGTCCAACGAGTCTTGAATTTGTTGACGGACCGGCGCTCTGGTTTCGAAGTGGATCCACGCCCACTTCTCAATGCGGTTGCAGGGGCGGAGGAGCTTTGCGGTTTGCCAAGAACCGTCCATTGGGGTGGTGTCCTTGTTGAGGTACCTGATCGTGGGAGGTGTAAGTACGCGGCCGGGGACCGTGATCAGCTGCTTGTCGACCTCCAATCCGAACGACCTGAGCAAAGGGTTGTTGTCAAGCCCCAGCAACTGCCGGGCCGATGAGGCAATAGACAACGCATTTTCCTTGGGGCTGCGGCACGCAAAGTTGATCATGTCATCTTGCTCATCCGGGCTCAGCTTCATCTTCAACGGCTGACCTGGGAGGATTGTAATATGCTCCGCAGGGATGTATATTGGCTGTTGGCGAGTCCCGGTGTTGATCAACGGGAGGTTGACGTCCAAGGTGATGTCGTACCCTGCACTTCTAGTCAGTTTCCACACTCTGTGTTCGGCCCGGGGATGCTTCAGCTTACTGGCTTTGAAGAACTGCTCAACTGTGCAGTACTGACCAAACTTGAGACCCTTTGGAGGAGGCAGTTTTGCAGCCTCCGAGTCTTTGGGTGCATCAAGAAGGAAACTGGTATAGCGTGCGGATGAGAAGTCGAACCCCGGCATTGTGCCGTCAAACTTGGGCGCGGCTCTGTCAGTTGCTGAGGGCTTATCCTTGGGTCCCTTCTTGCCATCGCTCGTCATGCATAAGCCTGCAATAGCCTTATTGATCTTGGTCCACAGGCCTCCCTTCTTGCTTGGGGGGATTCTGTGCTCCACTCGGGCCCTGGATAGGACCCTGTTGACATCCTTGAGCTGCCTTCCGTATCTCGCAAAGTCCTCGCAAGTCTCCATCTTGGCCAAACCCATCTTCTTGAAGAGTTCAGAGAGAGGGACAGGGTTGCGAAATACGCCATGCGTCACGTTGGTGTTGGCGAGAAGTCTCCCCGTACCAGGGCGGACGCTCATGGAGTAACCACGGAGAATTTGGATTGGCCTTTCCCTCGGGGCATCCCCAAACCGAGACGGCTTCAGCGGAGCGGCGTCCACTTGAGCCCCAGCGGCGGCAAAGAAGCGTCCCTTTCCCACCACGGCGACCTTTTCGGAGTCAGCACGGGCAGTGTGCCCAATGACAACGTTGAGGGCATCAATCTCGACGGGACGCTTGGGAAAGGTATCTTGGTTCTCTCGGTCCACCATAGTAGCCAGGAACTTCTGCAACTCGCTGATCTGAACCAGCTCAGGCCCGTTGAAGTTGACGTTCCACTGCTCAGGTTTGGCAGTGTCTGAAAGTGTGATTTTAACAACGCCGTCCGCTGGCAGTTCAAGCTTCTTCGTTGTCACCACCTGTTGCTTAAACTCGGAAGCGATCGGGATCTTGGGCCCCAGAAAATCGAGAGCAGCGCGAATAACCTTCTCCAGCTTTTTACCCGCAACCGGCCGGGTCTCACTCGATGCCTCTGGGGTGGGCTTCTCACCCGGCTTGTTGACGGTGAGGCTGTACTTGTAGAAGGTGGCCCCCTTTTTGTCCTTGAGGTCTACTTTGAAGTAGTTGGCCCAAAGAACAACTGGCTGGCCTTCTGTGCCAAAAGCCGGGCGGACAGGGAACCTGCCATCCTTAGACACCGATAAG